ACGCGGGGCCATTCTTAAGACTCTCTACTAAGAAATACAAAACCAAATACACACAAAAAAGTCCTTTACTCAAGTTTGAAGAATCAAAGCCACTTAATTTTTCGTTGCCAAAAAGAATGTTCCTAGGGGGGAAGCAATCACTGACAAATGTAATTTTTCATATAAAAATTGAAGCTCAGAATTATGCCCGAGTTCAACATTCAGAATTTATTAAATAGTAAGTGTCAAATAAATGCCAACAGAAGTAAACATTCTTCTCAGCCTCGTGCCTCTTGTTGGGAAGCTCCACCCAGCCCCACTCCTCCCATTCCAAACCCCGCCCCTGAGAAAGCCTGCCATCAGTGGCTCCTCCTTCTGAGATGCTTAAGACCACACCCACAGGGTACTTAAGTCCCAGCCCATAGATCTGCCATGTGCTCTCCTTCCTGCCTCCCTGAGAGTCACCGAGAAGTGCTCTGCTCTGCTTTGCTCTGTTTATGAAATCTAGATTTATTAATTCAGTTTGATTTCACTTATTGCTTCAGTGGAGGAATCCGATTATCAGGATCCAATACTTACCACTTCTCTTTTCTCTACTATGCCAGCATCTTGCTTTTTCATTGACTGATTCTATTTCTTGGAGGTTCTTGTGGTGTGTACTGCTTACATACTACTACATTTTAAAGACAGAGGAAATGACAGGATTTGGCGATCTGACAGCTTCCTCCAGTGCATGTTTTGCAATTTTTTGGATGACTATTATGGAGAACCTCGTTAAAGTAGTTTTACTTGTGCAGTGATGGGGATTGAACCCGGGGCCTCACAAATGCTCAGCAGAATCTATAAAAGCAAAAGGAAATCAGTAGTTGCAATAGTGTCCTGGATAAGACAACGGATCTTTTTAGAGACTTGGCTAGGTGACCTTAAAGCTGTGTCTTTTGTAAAGGCGTTGGTAAGGAGTGAAGTGGCAGAAAGTGTGCATGTGGGTGGGGCAGGGTGGGGTGGAGCTTCAGAGACCAAGTGTGGAGGCCCAGAGCATCATTGGAAGCATGAGAAGGCTAGGTTTCAGTGTTCAAGGAAGGATGGAAGGGAGGACGGATGGAAGGAGGGAAGGAAGGAAGAAAGGAAGGACGGAAGGAAGGAAGGCAGGCAGGTAACACAGCCAAGGCTCTGCAGTGCTGCCTGCTGGAAGCTGTGCAAGTGGCTTCCTCCAGGGAGAGGGCTTCTGGGAAAGAAGAGTGGATTATCTCATTAAGAGAATAGCTAATCCTCCATTCTCTGTAAAAGTCTTCAGGTGACTCATTTCCTGGAGGATGGAATCTCCGCTGGGAGACTGACAGGCCCGGCTAAATTAACTTCTTTTCTTTTTCTAAAGGCTGAGTCTCACCATGGAGCCCTGATTGTCCTGGCACTCAAGCATGTAGATCAGGCTGACCTTGAACTCACAGAGATCTGTCTATCCCTGCCAGGATTAAAGGTATGCATCACCGTGTGTGGTCTGAATTAACTCTTAAAAGGTGGAGACAGCAGGACATAATGTTTTTGTTCTGAAGTAGGAGTGGGACCTGTATTGTATTCTTTAGTCCTGGAGAAACTAGCTTCACCTTAGTGGGCCTCAAGAAAACACAGGTGCCTCCACCTTTCATGTGGCGTTTTAAACTCTGAGGAGAGGCAGAGCTGTCACCAGGGAAATGGAGAGGGGCTCCAAGGCTACACCACCACAGTAGCCTACAACTCTAAAGAGTAACCATAAAACCTAAAGATTTAGCATAAAAGCACAAGTACATATACATAATGTGTATATACACGGTCATATATAAAGATAGAGTTTATTTACTTATTTTTTAACATAAAGTATAAAACCTTTGATAAGGACAGAGCCTAACCTGTATATTGACAAGGTGATAAGGCTGAGCAGGCACCAACAGCTTGTTTCTGTTTTAAATTTTGTTATTTATGTTTATGTGTATGGGTGTGTAGGTCTGTGTATCACATGTGTGCCTGTTACCTGCAAAGGCCAGTAGAGGGCATCAGAAACCCTGGGACTGAAGTTACAGACCGATGTGAGCAACCATGTGGGTGTTGGGCCTCTTAACCACTTAGCCGTCTCTTAACCACTTAGCCGCCTCTCCAGCCCCAATAGTTTTTTCTCCGTTAGTTTTAATTGGACAAGATAAGAACCTTGAAAAAAAACAGTTTTTTTTTGTTTGTTTGCTTGTTCTGTTTTGTTGTTGTTTCTTGGTTGCTGTATTTTAGGCAAGATCTACTAAGTAGCCCTGCCTGGTCTGGAAATTGCTATGTAGTCCAGGCAGGCTGGCCTTGAACTCGGAGATCAGCAAGCTTCTGCCTCCAAAGTGCTGGGATTAAAAAGCCTCCAAAGTTCTGGGATTAAAAGCCTGTACTGAGAGAGGCAAAGTTACATCTTAAATTTTAAGATGTGCCTAAGAGATCCATGAAACAAAAAAATGTCTCTGATCTGCAAGCCCCTTGCCCAAGGACAGATAGTGCCTGAAGTGCTGGAGGCTGTTGGGAGATAACAAGTCACATGTTTTCACTCCCCTAAAGGTCTGTTTGACCCGTCTGCCCTGAATGTGCATGATCACTTGTGGGCAGGAGGTTCACAGACAGGAAATATGCCAGCATGTATGCTTGCCCCTGGACTGGACCTGATAGGAAGTACTTAGGTTGCTGCAAACCATGACTCGGGACCATTTTCTGGTAACCCAGAAATGGACCTGGCCAGACTCCACCCACTTATCCAGTGTTTAATTAAAGCTTGCTTCAAATTTGGCTTTAAGTTGTGGTAGTGGTCTTATTCCTGACTGCTGGGATTAACGTAATACCAAGCCTGGCTTGAAAACCTGGCCTTGAAAGAAAAGAGCACAAGGATAGAGATGGTTCTTATCTCTTTGTGTTAAGAGTTATCCTAGGGACATGAGTAATTAGTTATTATCATCTTAATACTTAAAAGCATAGCTATTTTCTCAAAAATAGTAGAAGACATGACCGTTCCTGGTATGGCAGAGAACAAAGTTTTTATTGTAGATCTGAGGGAAAGTATAGCCAGAGGCCATGAGAGGAAGGGAGTGGGAAGGGAGAGAGAAGAAGAGAGAGAGGGAGCAGAGAGAGCACCAGGGAACCAAGAGGTCAAGAGGGGAAGCAGGAGCCAAGAGAGCCAAAATGGCTGAGGTTCAAGGGAGGGAGAGGTTTAGGCTGGGGCCGGGTGAGAAATGCTGGGAGGAACAGGGTGATTCTGGGAGAGCTGCCCGCCCCGGATTTGATATGTTAATAGGCCCCTCAGCCATTAGGGCAGGGTTTGTTTGAGACCTAACAGCAAGCTTACCTAGATTTCAAAGCAGTTAGGATGTGACGGAGCAGAATTGTCATTTTCACTTGTCACACTTAGGAAGAGGAAATGCCAACTGAGGAATTGCTTGTGGCCAGGTCTGTGCGGCATTTTCTTGATTGCTAATTGATGGAGGAGGGCCCAGCTCACTGTGGGGACTGCTGTCTCTAGGCAGGTGGACCTGGGCTGCAGGAGAAAGGTCCTGAGTGAACCAGTAAGTAGAGTTCCTGTATGGCCTCTGCTTGAGCTCCTGCCTGGGCCTCCCTAGTGATAGGCAGTAACCTGAGACAGCAACCTGCAAGCCAATGTGCCTTCCCCAGATTGCTTTAAAAAAGAAAGAAAGAAAGGGAAGGAAGGGAAGGAAGGAAGGAAGGAAGGACGGAAGGAAGGAAGGGAGGAAGGAAGGGAAAAGGTTTGGTCAGGTGATGGTGGTGGCGGCTGCAGTACTCACCTTTAATCCCAGCACTTGGGAGGCAGAAACATGTGGGTCTCTGGAGTTCAAGGTCAGCCTGGTCTAAGAGTGAGTCCCAGGACATCCAGGGCAGTTACAGAGAAACCCTGTCTCTCAAGAAACAAAACAAAACAAAACAACACTGTATTCTCCAGCAGCCAGGAGAGGGCGCCAGATACCTTGGAGTTGGAGTTATGGGCAGCTGTGTACCGTCCAACATGGGTGCTAGGAACTGAGCTGGGCGCTCTAGAAGGACAGCACAAGTGTTTAACTGCTGAACCCTCTCTCTGGATCATTGAGAACTAGGCAGCCAGCCAGGCTGAGAGCTGGTCTCAGGCAGCCAGAGTCTTCCCCTGGGCAGCAGCGTAACCTGTATCTTCAGTATATTAATGGGGGTGGTAACAAGGTCACAATCACCTAGCAGGGGATGGTCCTGCAGTCACCATCCTACCCTTATGCCTACCCTCAGATAGCTGGTGTTGGAAAAGGTCATTAACTGTCTGCTGGATGGCCTTCTTGAGGGTGACCAGAGTCAGGTTCATAGTCCTTGAAACAGATGGTCTTGATAAGTCATTTTGTTGGTCCTGCACCTGTGTCTTAGCCAGCCTGATGGGGAACAAGTGGGTGGCCCTGATCAGCCACTGATGCCACCATCGATGAGCTCAGCCTGCAGGCCGAGCTACTTTATCTGCCGTTTAGTCCACGCTCAACAGTCCAAGCTGATGTGGGGAGAGGGTAGCTGGTGACCACAGTTGATAATTGGAGGACAGGACACCCTCAAAGGATTTTCAAGGATCCTGCCACTGTGCTTTGTCTCGGGTTGCTGGTCTCCCCAGTGGGCTGCTGTGCCCACTTGTGGGTTGTTAGTCTTGTTAATAAAAGTGTTCATAAATGGACTGGGAAGGAAACTCAAGGACAACGTTATTAGAGTCAGAGAAAAACAAGAGAGCAGGCGAGCTGTAAATCTCAGCAGCTGCCTGGAATAAGGAGAAGGAGGGGGGAAAAGAGGAGGAGGGAAGGAAGAGATGGGGTGGAGGAGGAAAGGAGGAGAGGAAGAAGAGAGGGGTAGGGGAAGAGGAGGGGGAGTGTGGTGATATCTTGCTTCTCCAAACAAAGCCTGTCTGAAGGTCAGAGAATGGAGCTTGCCACTAGCTAACCATAGAGGTCTGGAGGTCTGTACAGACAGTCAGGAAGTGAGCTAGCTGGGCAGAAACAGGATATAAGCTGGAAGAAACAGGAACTCACTCTCTTGTGTGGAGACACTAAGAAGGTAAGATGTGGCTCTGGCTTGCTCCTTCTCTCTGATTTCTCAGCATTTTCCTTTATATCTGACTCTGGGTTTTTATTAATCAGACCAATTAAGAACTGCATTTACAGTGTTTTCTTGCCGAGCGTTGGTGGCACATGCCTTTAATCCCAGCACCAGGGAGGCAGAGGCAGGCGGATGTCTGTGAGTTTGAGGCCAGCCTGGTCTACAGAGAGTTCCAGGACAAGTCATACCTTTTACAATGAAAGTTGGCAAGCAAGGTGTAGTAGGAAGTTGGGAAGGGGTGCTTCAGAGGGTGAGTGGGGAGCCTGGGAAGGGGTGCTTCAGAGAGTGAGTGGGGAGCTGCAGTGTATCAGGAAAAGCTAGAAAGGTCAGTGCTAGAAAGAAAGATAAAAAGTTATGTTTTTCAGAGTTAGGACAGACTCGGCCATGTTGCCTGACAGAAGCATTGTAAGCAAAGGAGGGGTTCTGGGAAGGATCAGTACATCATCTCATTGGGGGGTAATTAGTCCTCCCTCTTCCTAGCATGTCTTCAGGGGAACCAACTTTTCCACAGGGTAGACTCTTGGCTAGGTGAATGAACACTCGGGCAGCCAAGCTTGGTACAGAAGTGAAAACACATGGTTTGTCATCTTACATGAACAACAGCCCCCAGCATTCCAGAAGTTATCTCTCCTTGGGCAAATGGGGCTTACAGGTTAGCCGTATTTTTGTTTTACAGATCTCTTAAGCACAGTCATTTAAACTTGAAACATAATGTTAGCCCTCACAGGGTCTCACCAAAGCTCAGGCACCTCCACTCTTTTTATTTGTTTGTTTGGTTTTTCTTTTTTTTTTTTTTAAGACAGGGTTTCTCTGTGTAGCCTTGGAGCCTGTCCTGGAACTAGCTCTTGAAGATCAGTCTGGTCTCGAACTCACAAAGATCTGTCTGCCTCTGCCTCCGGAGTGCTGGGATTAAAGGCGTTCGACATCACTGCCCAGCATTTTTTTATATAGTAATTTAAATACTATTACTGAAGGAAACAGGAGGTGGGCTCCATCCTCAGTGGCCTCCAAGGCTGTTTGTCCCTGTAAGAGTGTGAGTGATGCTCATTAAACACAGAGTGTTTCTCTGGCCAGAAGACAAAAAAAAAAAAAAAAAAGCGGGGGTGGGGGTGGGGGAGAACTGAACGTAATATGGGAACTAAGAGTAGGGCTGAGCAGCTAAGTGACAACAATAACATAACAAATAATAAATAAGTAATAATAAACTCGCCAGCAGAGCTTCACAGTCTCTCTACCCTTGCCACCACAGAAGATGGCCAGGGGAAGTGAGAGGCGGGGCTCAACATGGCCAGCTGTAGTTGAAAACCCCAGTGCCCAGTCCTGTGCAGTTTTGCAGAGACCCCTACAGTGCCCAGTCCTGTGCAGTTTTGCAGAGACCCCTATAGTGCCCAGTCCTGTGCAGTTTTGCAGAGACCCTACACTAAGGTAAAGCCGGGATTCTTGAGTTACAATCTTGACTAATGCTGCAGGGATAAACCTGGGATTCTTGACTTACGCTGCAGGATGTGAAAACCTGTCAGGATGAATCAGTGTGAAGGGAGGCTGCAGTTGATTAAGAAACCGTCTTAGTGTGGGTTTTGGCACAGGTGTTAGGAGGGAGGAGCCAAGGAGAAGGATGGTCTGGTGGGCACATCACCGAGAGACCCCCAGCTTCTCCAGAGAGAGCTGCCCAGACCATTCTTCAAGCCAGCTTCTGTCACCATTCCTGAGAGCAGCCAGTATCTTAAAACCTAGTAGTTTTACATGGAGAATTGGGCTTTAGCTCTGTATCATGCGCTAAAATTTGAATTTAGAAAATTTTAATAACCTTCAATTATGAGTCATTTTAAGTTTTATCACACAACCACACTTGTTTGTGTAGCATGCTTTAGTTTGGTGTTGCTTTTATCTCTGTTTTCATGTTAGACAAAACGGTATTTAATCATCCAAAATCCATTTTTATCCAAAACTGTTTTCCTTTCTTTTTAATCTTTTAACCAAAAATATAGCCCCACACTATTCTGGCTGTTTTTGTCTACTCGATGCAAAGTGAGGCATATCTGGGAAGAGGGAATCTTAATTGAGAAAATGCCTCCGTAGAGTTGACCTGCAGGCAGGCAGGCAGGCAGGCAGGCAGGCAGGCAGGCAGGCAGGCAGGCCTGTGGGCATCTTGATGAATGATTGTTGTAGGAGGGCCCAGCCCACTGTCGGTGTCACCCTGGGAAGGTGGCCCTGGGTGTATTAGAAAGCAAACCAAGCAAGCTGCAGGCGTGGGGCAGTGCTGCTCTTCCGTGGCCCTCCTTCAGCTCCTGCCTCAGCCTCTCGCCTTGAGTTCCTGCCCTGATGCTTTTCATTGTGGAAGTGTACGTCAGATAAAGTCTTTGCCCCCCAAGTCGCTTTTGATCATGGTGTTTATCACAGCAACAGAAACTCTAAAACTCATCCCTAAAACTGTATCTTCTCATGCTTGCTGGTTCCTCTCTCTCTTACATTTGTTTGCTTTTTAAACTAAATTCTTGAAGTAAAAAAATTCTTTTTTTCAAGCCAGGCATGGTGGCACATACCTAAATCCAAGCACTTGGGTGGCTGGGGCTGTGTGTTTGTAAGTTCAAGGACAGCCTGGGTTCTATGGTGAGTTCTAGGATAGCCTGAGCTAGTAGTGAGATCCTATCTCCAAAACAAATTATTTTGCTGACAAAATAAAAACCTAGAAAGCTGAAACAGAAAATGTGAGCATTGTATTTCAAACATTAACAATGATTTAAAAAAAACAGTCAAAACATTAACTTACCTGTTAAATAATGTATACAAGGGTGCAAGGTTGGCTCTGCAGTTTCACATTACTTGATGGTATTTTAGCTCTTGTTTAAACCCTTAAAAACCTGGATATAGGGTACAAAAAAATGTTTTTCTTTGGTATCTGGGAGTTGAAACCCTCCCAATGGTGATGACTGTATCCCCATGGTGATAGTAGGGATAGGTGGCTGGTTCCCCCTTCTGGGGGAGAGAAGATAGTCGGGACCACAGAGATAAGAAAGGGACTGGGCCGTGCCTCAGCATCTGTCCCCTACTGGCCTAGCTTTGGAAGGCCTCACTTCCCAAACAGTACCTGCCTGGCACAGGCGGCCCTACTCCCTGCCAACACAGCACCACCCCCAAAGAGGTCTCACTGATTCCCTGCTCCCTAGATTTGGCATTGTTTTATTTCTATTCCTTAATCATGTCCTACGACCCTGGCGTGGTAGGGCATACGTTAGCCTGTGGGAAGAAAAGGGGAGAGATTGACTGAGAGAGAGTGAATGGGAGGGGAAAAGACACCTGGAGCAGGTGTGACTAACATCTTGCTTGGGAACAGAGAAAAATCACACTGGACTCTTCTGGGGATTACCCTAAAGCTAGGAACACCTTCTTTAAAGCCACAGCTCCTAAACTGTAGGTGGCAATACTGTAGGGTTGTGTAAGTGAGCATGGGGGCTTTGAAAACTGCCAACAGTGAAATGTTTCTGACCACAATGATCAAAGTTAATTCTAAATGGAACATGCAATGAAGCGCTGGTGTTTCCCACAGCTCTCACCAATGCCACCACACAGCTGGTTTAGCATGCACAACACATGCACTTTGAACTGTGCATGCCCTCACACCATGAACTCCAGAACACTGCCTGGCACACATTAGCTCAACCTTGGGACTATCATGCCATGGATGGCAGTGTTTTTCCTGGAGGTACAAGGTTTTCGTTCTTATGGAATGGTAATGGCTTTGTTGTAGAAAAAGAAAGACAATTAGGTTCCTCTTGTCATTCTTCAGCATGGAAGTATCAATTTAGTATTTCCTTGTAATGTATTGTGTTGAGATGTTTGGTTTTAAAATTTGATCGTAGGCCTGGCCATGGTGGTATACGCCTTTAATCCCAACATGCAGGAGGCAGAGGCAGAGAGATCTCTGAGTTCCAGGATAGCCTGGTCTACAGAGTGAGTTCCAGGACATCCAGGACTATTTCACAGAGAAACCCTGTCCCAAAAACGGAACAACAAAAAAAAAACAAAAAACAAAAAAACAAAAAACACAATGACAGCAACAACAAAAAATTGATAGTAGAGTCGCTTAGTGTCATTAAAAAACACATTCTACAAGTTTTGGCTTATGATTGGGACTAAATTTCCAGTAATTTCTGAAATGGCCCACACATACTCTTGCAGTACATATTTACGTGAAGCAGCACTCTCTGTATTGACAATTATAAAATCAAAATAGTGATGAACTTTTAATACACACTAAAGACATTCCATGTTCTGCAGTAGCAAATATTCAGCCAAGATTTAATTCTGTATATAAAAATAAATGCATCTACTTCATTAGTATGTAGGTTTGCTTTTTTGTTAGTAAACACGAAAGTTTTATGTGTATCAAGCAATTGTTTCTCAATACATTTCTTTGGTTGTGATTAAGAATGCTCGCCACTCTTGCAGAGGATCTGGGCTCAGTTCCCAGCATCCATATCAGCTCACAATTGCCTATAATGCTAGGCCCAGGAGATCATGTGCTCTCTGGTCTCCCTGTACACATGTACACATGGGACACAGAAACTCACTCAGGCACACATAAATATGCACATGGTTTCTTAGTCAATATTTGTGATTTATTGTCACCAATTGCTTGACTCCTGTGCACATATTATATACTGGCATACCTGGGATCTTGTAAACTTTTCTCAGACAAAAACAAATGGTTGCAAGTGGAGAAGTTAAGAAGACTGCCCTGGAGAACCTTCCTGAAGAGCCAGAGGGGAACAACAGACAGGTCAAGCCACAGCAGACGGCTTCTCAGAGGGCAATGTGGGTGAATGTTGTGGAATATTACTTTAACTATGTAAAGGTATGTTACATTTGTTTATGTGCAGAGTATTGCTTTAACTGTGTAGAGGTGTGTTCATCCTTTAGGCTCTGCCCTGAGTCTTCCTTTAGGCAGCCTTCTCTGA